TAAGGTAACTTGATCCGATTAAGATATACGAATTTTTAACATTTTCTTTTATAATTCGAGAATGGATGGAGATATCGAGATGCGGGTTTCACTAATATTTAGCTAATTTTATGTTGATTAACGGTCTGTGAAGTAAATAGTACCGTTCCATTTAACTTTTTTTCAAAAATCACAAAAATATGTAACCGCTGCAGATAACGCCCTCTAGCTTATTTCTTTTAAATCAAGCGCTCTTACTGAAAATATCTTTTAAATGAGCATGAAATGCTCTTTCAAACAAGACCAAAAATATTCAAATCGGTTGAATGGTCCAGGAGATATTAAAATGTAAACATTTGAAAACGCATTGACCTTCCCCCTCCCTTATTATGACAGATATGAGAAATATCGCAAAACAAAAGCGATGCGGTATTATGCAAGCTACTAAATGATGTTGTTAACGTTATAGCTCATCGTCTAACTTTCTGAGATAGCGGAAATTTTATGTTTCTCTATGGCAGTTACGCCCCCTAGCGGTCGAATTACGAACTCCAAAATAATTTCCAGCTATTTCTCTTGCCCACTTTGCTTATAAGGATTTTTTTTCCAAACCTCTAGGCCTTACCGTTGTTGAGATACAGCCGCTCCGTACGCTTAACGGGACATCCTGTACATAAAATTCAGCTAGAACATAAATCGTAAACTCGAGGTTTTCACACGAAAGGTAACAAAGCCGCCAATAAATTTCAAATTTCAACACTAACAACTGCCCGTGAGACCCAAGAAGTTCACGAACAACTTCCGGAATAATCACACCACCCCATTGATACATTTCACTGAAAATTGAAAACTTTTCCACTTCATTAATTTAAATTATTTGATTTAAACTTTAAATCTACCATTTAATTCAAAAAATATGTCAACACATTAAATTTTACTCGTTATTACACATAATGTAGTTAAAACTAAAATGTGTAAAATTTTGTTTTCGCGTTTTTAACTGTTTGTAACAATCTGTTTAATCCTGATAAAAAGTTCTGAATTTAGAAGTTTCTTTCGCAATTTTAAATCGCACATAAACTTTATTTAAAAATACTCTCAATTCGATACATTTATGTCTCCTCGCCCACGATAAGCAAACAACATCTGTTTTTATTTCTTTAGATTTTTACGTCAGTATTATAAAGAAAGTACATCAAATGCTGAAAAAAAGTAACAAAAAAAAAGTGTGGAGGAAGCATATAAATTAAACAAACCACAAATTCATGAATCGTAAAAACACATCGAAAATAAACGCGTACTATAATAAATTCAAAAAGAAATGTATTAATTTTATATCACTCTTACTCAATAACTATTTTTAATTCTTTTTTGTTGGCTGTATCGGATTAATATAATATAAAAAAGAATAATTTACTTTCGCTGTGTATTTCGGTATCTTGTTAAATATAGATTGTGTCCATATAAACCTTTTANCGCCATAAGATTTGCAAAATTTGTGATATCAGTGGACTCATCGACTTGTAATGCATAATAACGACTTTGAGAAATATCAGACAATAACATCTGTTTCACATTATTGGCCATATCAATTATTCGTCGATGAATTGTATTATTTGACAAGGGTACACGATCAAGAGTTTGTTTTGCTTTATCACCTATCATTACTTCTGCCATTATTTTGGCAGCCGGCTTGATTAAACTTTCGCCAATCGTCTCCGCTGCACCACATTTCGCAATTAAAAGCGACTCGCGATACGAAGTTTCTAGGATTTTTTGATTGTCACCTCCTGTTAAACCTCTCATTACTTTTTGAGATTGATTTAAATCTTTGAGTTTATGTTCANAGAAATGTATTAATTTTATATCACTCTTACTCAATAACTATTTTTAATTCTTTTTTGTTGGCTGTATCGGATTAATATAATATAAAAAAGAATAATTTACTTTCGCTGTGTATTTCGGTATCTTGTTAAATATAGATTGTGTCCATATAAACCTTTTAAGTTCTACACTGAGAAAAATGATATGGAAAATTGAACTAAATCAATTTAGTTGTTAGACAAATAGTCATTTTTGCTAGAAAATTTATTCATTTGCCTAACGTAATTTAGCTGACATATACAATTCTAATTAGGTCCATAACTACCATCTTTTAGTTAAATTTATCTTATAGATAAACCCATCTACTAGCCAATCAGAGCGCTTGAAATAGCCGTAACCGTGGTAATAATCCCTTAGATAGCTTAACCAGAAGATGGTAGTAATGGACCTTAGTCAAATTTATGATAGTTAATTTATCTATTTACTGAGGAGATATAACTAATTTTTAGAAAAAGATACTACATCGTGGAAACTAGATGATAAGTCTAGTTGTTGAGTAGTTTAGTTACCTAAAATATATGGTATTTTGTCTCTTTTGCTCTAGTCTGAATATCTATATACATTTAACAATGAAATATTTTGCCTAAATGGACAAATATACTATTATTGAATACTTTATTTAAATGTATTTTAGTCGTTTTGTCTACCTGTTTTCATCGTTACATCGATCGTTTATAAAAAATATTTTTTGACGTCTATATTTAAGTAATAAAGTTATCTAGTACCATTATTAGGTATTTATAAGATACATTTTTCGATCATTTATCTATCTTAAACTATCGAAATAGAATTAGTTTTTTATAACTAGTAGTAGTAGTTATAATTTTTGCTAATTTTTGACTAAAAATTCTAGATAATCTGACTAAATTTTAGGTAGTTTTCCCACATTATTTTTTTCAGTTATAATCGTTACAATAAAATGAAACATAGCAGGACGAAAGGTGAAAAAGCTGTGGTCCTGGTACGTATCGATCTGATATCGTTTGCTTTTCTCCAAACATTAAGTAAAATTACATATATAAATAAAACATTATTCCATCAATCTTTGTACAGCTAACACTAGTTTACAAGAAAAATCTCGAAGACTGTGATATCTTAAGCTTATTCTGAAACTGTCTTCAGTTTTTCTCCATCATGTCCAGTTTTCGGGATATCCCCACAAATATAGAAAATCGTAAATTAAAAACATATTAACGGTTCATGTTCAGTATATTTTTTATTTTGCATAGTGTACTTCTGTAGCTA